GAGGAACGTATCGCCTCCATCTTCAGGGTAGAAGGAAAAATACAAGAAATCCGTAAGCGAAGAGACCGTGAGAACCGGTGGTCTGCTTTTACCGGTTCTCATGGTCTCTTCGCTTGCAGATTTCTTATATTTTTTCTTCTACCCTGAAGATGGAGGCGATACGTTCCTCTGAACCGTCGGTTAACACCACATATACACGGTGCCAAATCCCAGAAGACTGCTTTCTTCTTAGTCACCGCCGTGCAAACCCTCAAATCTTACACAATGTTTTGATTTGTTTTTTCTTGACAAGGAATCACTGTGGAGGGCTTATGTGTGGGTTTCATTTCACCTTGTATGTAAACATATATTTAATTAAAATAGTGGCCACGGAAACAGGCATTGCTTTTCTTCTTTGAAAGTGTTATCAACTTCATTCAAAATTATTCTTAGAATGAGTCTGCTGTATGTAGGTGGTTTAAGTGTTTGGTAGAACTCATTTCTTTATCTTGATTACATTATCTTTTGCAGATATATTCATCAGATTGATGCAGTCCTACTGTCATATCCTGACCCATTGCATCTGGGGGCTTTACCTTATCTTGTTGGCAAATGTGGACTCAATTGTTCAATTTATGCAACCATACCAGTATACAAGATGGGGCAGATGTTTATGTATGATCTATATCAGGTTAGTTTTGAAGGTAACGCTGTGACCCAAAAGTACTGTGTAAGTTGTAGAACAGCTGTACAGTAGAGTTGCATCAAACATTATAGTCATGCAGTTAATACTTGTGCTTTGTGTTTGGGAGGTTCCAAATTCAAATCGTGGCTGTATCATGCAGCCTGAAAGAGGATACGAACGTTAAACTAAGTACATTTCAGAGAATGTGTGGAACAGTAGATGAAGAACAGTGAGACAAAAAGACAAAGTACACAGTTACAATTACTCAAACACACATACGCATTGTTGTGACATAAGCAACAACAGAAGACGGCAGTTTCCTAGCTAAATAATTTTAACACTTGATGATGACCGCATAGATCTAAATGTGTAGTGATAAACTTTGAAAGTGAGTTCTAATAAAACTGCCTACTGAGGAGCTTCACAACTTTTACTCTTCACCAAGTGTAATTAGAATGATCAAGTCAAGGAGGATGAGATGAGCAGGACATGTAGCATTGGGTGCAAAGAGGAATGCATATAGGATATTGGTGGGAAAGCCAGAAGGAAAGAGACCACAGGGATGACCAAGATGTAGGTGGGTGGACAATATTAAAATGGATGGTATGGATTGGATAGATCTGGCTCAGGATAGGGACCAGTGGAGGGCTCTTGTGAACACGGTAATGAACCTTTGGGTTCCATAAAATGCTGGGAAATTCTTGAGTAGATGAAGAATTGGCAGCTCCTCCAGAAGGGCTCACCTCCATGAGTAAGTAAGTAAGTATTGAAAAATTAGGATTAACACCGATTTCAGAATCAGTGCAACTGAGTTATTGTATAAAATAATGAATTAAGGAGATTTTGCAGTTTTTATACAGTAAATCTGGAAGTTTCCTGGAGATCACTAACTCAGTGACATAATAGTACTTTTTCTGTTCCAGTCAAGACACAATATGGAGGAATTTGAATTGTTCACATTGGATGATGTTGATGCTGCATTTGACAAGATTATTCAGTTGAAATATAATCAGAGTGTTCCAATGAAAGGTATATTCTGTTATCTGGTATAAAGAAATTTATGGAATGTTGTTTTATGGTATTATCAATTTTTCTCTGCAAGTTCACATTTGTTTCATTCCTTCAGGTCTGTAATTTTTGGATTATTATACACTTACAACTTGCTATAATGCATTGTATTGTTCATGTTGTACTGAAGCCATATTAAAAGTATAACATAATTCTGCCAAAGGTATTGTAATGTGTTTGGGTGACTGGAAATGGGGTTCAGATTGTTAATTGTATTTATTAATAACCTACAGGTTAACTACAATTAATTATTACACTATTGCAGGTTTACACTAATTACACTCACTACATGCTAATCTTCTCAGTTTATCTGCAGTAGTTTTCATGTATTTATAGCATGGGAGCTATATGAGTCTCACTGAATTACACACTCCCAATCTCACTGCACTGTAGCACACATAAAGTCCTGATGTCACACAGTAAGTCTCCACTAGCTGACTTCTCAGCTATTACTCACAGTCACTGATTATTACTGACTGTCACACTAATAAAACCTTCAAATCACATGTTCAGGCCATCGTCTTCCCGTGGCTGTCTTGCATCAAACACTGACTGAGAACTGACCAACTCTGAGAGCTCACTTTGTGAACTGACTGACTTAGGAATTCCAGTCTCTCATATAAACCCTTGAACAGACAAGTGGAAAACACAGCTTGCTCCATCGTTTCATAATTGTCGTGCACCTACAGAGGTGTTGCTCAGCAATGTGTTGATTAGCTGCTGCCCGAGATGTGTTTACTGTAATGCTGCCTAGCAATGAGTGCAATATGGCTCGGTTTGGCACGGCACGGAGAAAACACTGCTTTCCTTATTGTTGCATATTCACCCTGTTTACAGATTTCTGTGGCTCAGCACTTCTTGCATGGCATAAATATGCCAGAGTATTAATCAGCATTTCTTCGCAGACTTTATTCAAGTTGCGATTGTCAGTCAAAATAAATTTGACTGTCTGCATCCATGTTCAATTCCTTTTCTGACACTGAACAGTTAATTGATTATCAGTTCTCACCATTTGAGTCACATTTGACTTTTGAATCAGTTCTTGGATTAGAAGAAATGACAGACTGTCATATTTTACCTCTTCCTTTCCTTCTTGACAACATCTGTTAACTTGAACAAAAACCTTTGCTCTAAATTTGAAAATTTGGCTAAATGTAATCCTTTAGGTACTTAAACAAGTAAATAGATTACTGCAGTTATAATGTTTCGATTTGACTGAATATCATTGGTGTTGTGAAGGAAGTCATTTCCAAAATATAATCCTCCATCTAACCAAAAGGTATTATGATAGAAAAGTAAGCTATTAAAAGCTAATGAACTCATACCACTTATATGAAGTGAATGCATTCATAGGACAGATAACTGAAATTGCATGAACAGTTGCCCAAGCAATTACTTTAATATTTAATGTTATAATAGTAAACAAGATGTCTTGTTTAATGTTTCCCAGTTCTGAAGTTTGTTACTCTTGATCAGTAATCAGTAAATGCTCATGATTTAAAGAAAATACCCAGATTTCTGGGAATTATGTCATTAACAGCTACATGCATCTTCATTATTTGTGACTACCTAGGCATCCAGAACTCCCCGTCATAGATCCAAATACCATACCATTCCGAAACAGTATAGTGTGAATGTGTTATCAAACATAAGCCATGGCAACCAGTAGCAGAGGACTCAAGTGTCAGGATTGCGCCACCTCATGTTTCTGTTTGGCATAGTTAGTTTTTACAACAGTGGCAGCTATCAAAACAAAACTGGTACAAAATCAAAATTATATATTTATCTAATAACTTCTGGCTTATGTTGTCATATGTTCAAACATGCACCTCCTCAACAGTGTTTTCATATGTCACAGACAATCAGCTCAGTTACTTTACTGTCAGAAATTGTGTTTGTAACAAATGTTTTGTGTTTTGCCTTGCTTTCAGGGAAGGGGTATGGTCTGACAGTCACTCCCCTCCCAGCTGGTCATATGATTGGTGGCACCATTTGGAAGATTGTGAAAGTTGGAGAAGAAGACATTGTGTATGCTGTTGATTTCAATCACAAGAAAGAGCGTCATTTGAATGGGTCTGAATTAGAGCGCCTGCAGAGGCCCTCTTTGGTCATTACAGATGCTTTTAATGCCACATACAAGCAAACAAGGAGACGAGCACGCGATGAGAAACTAATGAGTTTGTATTAGCTTTATATTTTTCGTAGCTGTTAACTGCTGGTGGAATGGGTTTAACCATTCCTGTAGTTGACCATGTTTGTTTTTCTTTCAAAATTTTACCTATATTTGCCACACATTATTTTCCATGTTTCCCTAAAACTATAATTTTAAAACTGCTAACCCTTAGGCAGATTTATGTGAGTACAAGAACCATCTGTTGAGGCCACCTGTGAAGTACTTTGAGTCAGTAGTATAGGGAAATATTTCCATCTTTTCCTTGTCTTTGTAAAATACCATATATATTGGCCTACAGGACAACTCTCTGAGCATAAAGGAAACCCCTTAAATGTAGGGGTTTTCTTGAGCACACAGCATAAAATATGAACCTTCAGTCCTTAAACATGGCATTTCACAACTGCTCTGCACAACTTCCACTGTAATTATTTCAAGTTAAATTAATTGGATTAATTATCATGGAGATTATAATAAAATGATGTGCGAACACTGTGAACTTGTCAGGATGAACAAGATACTGCATGCCATTTGCAAAAGCCAGAGCTAAGTCACGCTACAGTCCAAACAGCTACCAGTATGGTCATTACTAGCATAAGTGGTGTTGCATAATTGGCCAGTTCATGTTAGCCAAGCCAGTCATAACAAGCCTCAATCTCAGGTCTTTATTCTTGCATACTAGATTATATTCTCTAAAAGCTAAGAATATTACCATACTATGCAGCTAATTGTATAGTCATCTTATCTGGAGAATTATCCCAAAACTTAAAATTTTTACTTGAAAAGTCAGGGTTGTCTTATGTGCCACTTATTTTGAACACCAGGGTGTATGGTATTTACATGTACAACATTTCTTTTTAAAGATAACGAGGTACATAAACAAACTGGATTTTGCAGCACCAATAATTGTAAAGCCAGTGATGTGAAATTTTGAAGAGGGAGAATTTTTTATTTTGAATCTTTTATTTATTTATCTTCATTGTGTAACATTATCAGAGGTAACATTTGAACTGCATTTTCTATTGCAGTGCTTATGTCAGTAATTCTTAACCTCTTTGGTATTGCTACCTCTCAGGCTCAGCCAATAAAGCAAAATTACTCTTTCTTCTCCTCCTCCTCTAAATGGCAATAGACAGAAGAAAATACTGTATACACTGGGTCCATTATTCAGAAAATTAAAGCACATCATAGTAGCACTTCTCAGATTAATTTCTTAATGTGGAGGTTGATACTTCTTCTCGTTGCTTAGCTTAGAATGAGATTTTGTCACAGCTAATGGACATCTCAAGTCATAATGAAGGTTCATCTATTTCTTGCCGTCTTTTTAATATTGTCCATTGTAGAGAAGTTGTTTTCAAAGCAGTGTTTAGTGACAGACAGGATTAGAAGTTTGGGAGCTTTGTCAGAGAGAACAGGGTATTCTAAACCAGATGTTCACCAGAATGTTTCTGATTAGAGTTCCAAAAATCTGTTTTCCGTGTGTAATTTTCTTGCAGACCAAGAAATTATACTTCTACCTTCTTTGATTACTTTTTTTTTCTACTGTAAATGGCCTCACAATCTGTGCATTCTTGTCATGTTCTTCTGTACCTGGAAAGTATCTTCTCTGGATTCTGTTACTGACAGTGTCTTATGACATCATCAGCAAATGGATGTTTCTGTTTGGTTTCCTCAAATAGAATTGCCACTTCTAACCTCATAACTACACCTGCTTCAACCCTCTACAGGTGAATCTGGAACATACTGAAGAATCTAGGAACCTTGTCTTGAGGTGTGAGAATTTTTGCCAAATTTCCTTGTAATGAGGCGTTAGGCTAATTAATTCTGGTAAAACAATCTGCAAGGTGTGCCAGTATTTGAATGTATGGTCTGTTACTTTAAAAAATAATTCTTTCTCTCTAGCACATCTCTCTGTTGTGAGAAACATATACAGTAAAACTTGGTTATAGCAACATCGGTTTCTGCGACACCTTGTCTATTGCGTCAGATATTCAATAGTACGAACTAATTCCTCATAAAGCAACTGTTTTTATACCTTGCTTAGTACGACATGCACAAATGCATCAACCTCATATGTAACGTCATTTTCATTCCTGAATTTCTTTGATATAATGGGAAAGTTCGATGTGTCTGCCCACCCTCACTTTCTCTACTTGCTGACGTGACTGTCCTGGAAGAATACGACCGCGGGCTGCAAGAGGAGCGTGGGTTTTATGCGAAAACAAGGGTGTGGGGTGGGACTGCGTGAATAGTGCAAGAGGACGCGGCAGGTTGTTAACTGCATTCCTTTCCTAGAATCTCGTCTAACAGGACCTCACATTGTCTACTTACCCTATAGTGTTCCTGCCTAAACCCAGAGAAGTGCAGTAGCGAAAACATGGCAATGAAAAGGAAAGTTTTAAGCATTGAAGAGAAAGTTAAAGTGATTCGTGAAATATTGTGTGTATTGTCAGTGAAAAGCGCTGTAATATGTCTTTGATATTACACATTTGGGCAATTCCACGTTAATGTTACGTTAGTCTGTACTTAACTACGTATTTCACTAAAAAATGCAACATTTTAACTCGGTTTTTGGTAGATTTTTACGTGACTAACATAAGGCTACTGTGGAAGTGCCCATTTCGGTTACAACGACATTCGTTTATAACGACACTATTTTTAGGTCCCTTTGATAACGTTATAACCAAGTTCTACTGTATGTTTAATTCATATACACTGGGGGGCAGCCATGAGTCCTGTACTTGTGAGTAACTTGTAAGTAAGACATTCTCTGCACACCTATTTTGTGAGTCTGCATTAAAGTCCATCTATTGTTTTAGTTCGTCTTCATCAAAACCCAGGATTTTAAGAATTTTCCTTAATGGAAGAATATTTCCTTGAAATTATACTGCCCAATTGCATTTTCTATGTATTTGCTTTAGTGACATTTTGTGTATGTGTATGACAGAATACTGCTTAATTGATATTGTGCAATATTGCCTTTGGATATTTTCTAGCTCTTTATGGGATGGTGCAACAGGGTCAGTAGCGCTATTTATTATTCTGACTTGTAGATTTTTTGGAGTGTCAGTACTTTAAATACAGTGAATGATGTACATTATGTCTTTTGGATACTGAACTCTTATTCTCCTAATGTCTTTGGGATTTGACAGTGCTGAAGAAATTTCTAGTATCATCTCATGGTATAGCAGGTCTAATTTCAGCAGCAAAAGTATGGAAATACACAAAGGAAGGCATTTTAACTTGAAAGACCAGTCTTTATGGAAACGATTAAATGTAGCATTTGATTGTAGTAACATACATTCACCAACAACTTCAGGGCTTTGGGCTACAGTACTATTCAATATTTTATCTCCATATATTTGTGTATATTAGTGTTTGGTGTCATTGTGACTTGCAGCCAATATCCTGCAGACATTGAGGAGCAATGGAAATGTCCTGATCACAGTGGATACTGCAGGACGTGTTCTAGAATTGGCACACATGTTAGATCAGCTCTGGCGCAACAAGGACTCAGGTTTACTGGCATATTCTCTGGCACTGCTCAACAATGTCAGCTACAATGTTGTGGAGTTTGCTAAGTCACAGGTATTCATTTGTTGACATATACATTTAAATATTCATTGGGAAAATATTGTATGTGAACAATAAATTGATGCTTTGATAGATGTAACATAACATTGAAATAATGATGGAGCTTAAATGACAGAATTTAATCATTAAATTGAGAAATATTAAATATGTATTCTGCTGTATTTTGCATTTTCTAATATTCTCCAATTTCTTCATAATATGGCACAGCTGACCATTTTGGGATATATGCTGTGTGATGCTTATGTATAGAGCAAGAGAAGACTAAGTTATATCAATTTATATACGAGGGTTGTACTGAAAGTCATGAGAAGACTAAGTTATATCAATTTATATACGAGGGTTGTACTGAAAGTCATGAGCAACAATTTTTTGTAAAGTAACATGCTTTATTATTGACAAACCAAATACATCACTTCAATCTACAGACCTTTCTTTATTTTTCCACATAATCGCCACTTCTTTGTACACATTTCTCCCAGTGTTCTGGGAGTTTGAAAATTCCCCTTCCGTAAAATTCCGGTCCAGCCATCCGAATACACTGACACACTGCTCTCTGAATTGCCTCCCTTGCCTCAAAACATTATCCATGCAGCTGATCCTTCACAAATCTGAAAAGATGGTAGTCGTAGGGTGCCAGATCATTAGTTCAAGTTGTTGGCACTCCATTTTGAAGCTCCTAGGCTTATATCTCAGCCCCAACATTGGATATCTTGACAGGTTTTCTTCACTCTCCATGAAAGGATCTTCATTTTAGGCCACAACTGCTTCCTTCTACATCCTTAAGAGTTTATTATCACCAGTCATCCTACCAATTGACTATAGTCTGAGCTACTGACATCATCATTAAAAGACCATTAATAAATAACGTAGTACTGGTTTTATAGTGATTATCTGAATCAATTCCAGATTGAGTGGATGAGTGACAAACTAATGAGGACGTTTGAAGGGGCACGGAACAATCCATTCCAGTTCAAACATCTGCAGTTATGTCATAGTATTGCTGAACTAAGCAGAGTTCCTAGCCCAAAAGTAAGTAATGTTAAGATGTCATACATTTGCTATTGAAATTCAGTCATGTTGGGCATTATTTTTTGGGCAGTGTATACAGGGTGTTTCACAACTGGTCTGCCATATTTTGGGGGATGATTTTGGAGGTAACATCAGGTAAAAAAGAATGTTACCACAACACTGGCTCTGTTTCCAGCCATTAAGGACCTGCAGATATTTTAGGTGCACGCAGGAAAAAATAAATGAGAGTATTAAGTAGATGAATGCCAAATTTTTATGAGATACACCATACATGAATTGTTCGGAATGTTATATTGTATCAGATGGTTTCACAGTCTCATGTGCAGCACATCTTTCTATAAAACTTACTAAAAGTTATAGGCCGCACCATAGCTGAAGCGGTTAGTCACTGGCTTCCCACCGTGGTGGCCCGGCTTTGATCCCGGGTCTGGTCAAGTGGGATTTGTGGTGGAAAAAGTGGTGCTGGGGCGGGTTTTCTCCAAGTACTTTGGTTTCCCCTGCCAATCTTCATTCCACCAAATTCTCCATCATAATCACTTGGGGCAGGCTACAATAGGCCAATCAGTGGCCGCCGTGCCGAGTGGACCCAGTTGGACTCTACCCCCCACTAAGCGAAATACTAAAAGTTATTAACCTTAAAAGTTTTACATGTCATATAGATTTTAACTTATTAAAAGCTAGTCACAACATGTTTTGACATATAAGGTCATCATAAGATATTTTAAAATTATAAATGAGGAAACTGCTGTGTTTCTGTATCAAGGTTTTTTGGTTGTTACTATGCGGTCCCTTTTATGCACATGTATCTTTGAAGTGGCAGGTTGTTCTGCTGTTCTGTTGCATGTCCTTCTTGCTAATACGTTTGTTATGGTGTTTTTAATACACAGCCTTCCTTGTTTCTACCATAATTCACTGCCTGTTGCATCATGTCTGTGTGTTTTTGTATGTAAGCAGCTGCATACATAATTCAACATTAGAATTTCATTCTTAACTGTACTTTGGTTTTATAGACCATTTTTTATAACACTCCATGAAAAGAAGTGAAGCAGAGTTAGGCCTAGAAATCTAGAATTTATGGCACCAGCATGATTAGTACAGTTATTTCTGTAATGCTAATTCAAGTGAGCCATAAGTAACCAACTCCAAGGAGCTGAGTTCTGTGTGGCTGGAAGGATTAGGTAAATTGAAAAAATCTACTTCATTGGGATTCAAACCTGTGACCTTCCGGCTTGTAGTATAGTGCCTAAACCAGCTATGCTACTGCGTGCCCGTGAAGTTCTGTGATGATTTTGAAAATTTATTGAACTTTGAATTAATTTTATGTAGGTATTTTTAATTGCTAAATATGTGTAATATTCCAGTGGATTAATGTTTTGTGTCTCGGCTTGAGTATTCCTTGGTAATGAGGTACTTCAGTGGTTACCCCATGATAAGTTTTGCAAGAAATGTTACATCCCAGGTAGTAATATATGTGAAACTTGTGTGTTATTCAATGTGTAAGAATCTCTTTATAGAAGATGCATAATTTTATTTTTAAAACCTCTGCTTTTGCAATCCCTTTGTTGTTATGTTAATATGAACATTGCTGTGTATTTCCAGGTTGTGTTAGCAAGTACACCAGACATGGAGTGTGGGTTTTCTAGGGAATTATTTCTACAGTGGAGTTCAAATCCTCACAACAGTATTATCATCACAAACAGGTAACAGAGCATTTGGATACATGGGGATCTGCAGAGAATCATGGAATACGTGGAATGGTATAGTTATGGGCATTTCTAAAAAGGAAAGCACTGTAAATACACACACACACATATATATATATATCCACATGTGCATTCATGTATCTATCTGTGTGTGTGCGCATGGATGGAGGGTCCCATGTGTGTGCGTGAAGTGCATTTAGTTGAACATTCCGTTGTGTTTCAGTTAAATAAGTAATTATTGTTTTTTTGTGAAATTAATTCAGCTTGATTAAATCACTTAATGATTACATTAATGAATGAATTTTTAAATTCCTCAATTTTTAAATATTCTAACACAGTGATTATTTGCAAACTAAAAATTTAAATGTATGTTTGATGTCAGTGGGAATTAACATTAAGTATTGTAAAGTAAACTTGGAAATTATTCATAAAATTATATGCTAGAACAAATTGGATGTAGTAAAGGGATGTATATCTTTTTAATTACGCTATACGCTATGGTAAAAAGCTGCAGGAAGTAGAACAACCATGTAATGTGGAGAACACTGAATCGCAGGATATGTTGAAACAGGAGAAATTCAAAGGGAACATTTTGAAGTGGTTTCACCAGAATTATTCATCTATATATTTAGCTACCACAGGCCCAGTTAACTGTACAAACTGATTATTTTATATTCAGCTTAGGCATTAATGACTTGAACTTAGTATCAGGGCTGGTGCCATGACACAGGTGAACTAAGCAGTTGCCTGGGCTGGCACATTATACATACAAAACAAAAAGAAACAAAACTCCATGGTCTGTAGTCCGCAAGGAAAGTATACTGACTGAGCTACTGCCCCTTGTCAGCGAAGTTAGTGCCAACTTTTGCGGATAGAGGGTGTCATGTGGTCGGCCCAACCAATCCCCATGGCCGTTAATCTCAGTTTTTGGACTGAAGCTGTTGTTTACTTGAAATAACTCCACCATTATCCTCACGAGGCTGAGTGGACCCTGTTCCAGACCCACTACTCAGAAAATCTGGTAGTGCTGGGAATCGAACCTGGACCTCTGGATCTGTAGCCAGGAACTCTGACCACTAGAGCAACTATCTTTTTTTTGAAAATTAATTTTCTCTTCTCTTCTGTTTATATTGTAAACATAAGCACTTCCTGTCTGATGGGAATACTAATAACACCTAGCTCATCTCACCAAGACATTAGCAATAATAACAGCATTAACACAGTATTTGAAGATTCTAGAAAGCAAAGTATCTGCATTATAGACATAAATATTTCATTATCAGTAACTCCAGCAACAGTGGCTAGATTAGCCAGAGGTTTGCTTAAAGCTAAATACACCAGAGCAAATTTAGTTATTTACTTTTGAATTTCTTTTACACTCCTCCCCAGTTTGTTGTTCCATACCACATTTTATGAGGGAGAGTTAGTAAATTGGTCACCAATGGATATAAAACGTAAAACATGTGATATTTGAACATGGAAAATATTTATTTCTTGACATGTTCTCCAACAATATTGATACACTTGTCCCACATCTTTATTAGTGTGTCAAAATCAGCATGGAAATCTTTGGACTGTTGTCTCAGTCACTTCTGCACCTGTTCGGGCATCATTTGCGACTTTCAACCATCCTTGAGAGAATTTATCAACCCAGTTGTGAATCACTTTACATGATAAAACACTTCCCACCATAAACAGGAAATATTTTGTAATGAATATCCTTTGCATTGAGTCCTTTTGCCCACAGAAGACACAACAGAATGCTGCTGTTTGGTAGCTAACTCCTCAAGCATGGTCACCATTTTGACTACTGAAACCAGCCTCTGAACATGTATATGCGTATCTACTACATAGAGTGTCATGAAGCTGGACTGTACTGCTACATAGTGATACACATAGGAAACCTATTGTATCAGTTACAACTGTTGTACTTCCATTTGTGACCTATTTACCGACTCTTTTTTGTAATAATTAGACCTCTTGAAGTTTGCAGTAGTGAGGTGCTGGAAGAATTTGTATTCAGCAATACAGAATTTTTGAAGCAAGAATTTGGGGGGTTTTTATTGATTAATATTTGTTGATATTCGTTATATAATATAGGACATCGCCTGGAACACTGGCTCGTCAGTTAATTGAAAATGGTGGAAATGTTCCCTTAAACCTTGAGATACGCCGACGTGTAAGATTAGAGGGTGCTGAGCTAGAGGAGTACCAACGGAAGGAAAGAGAAAACAAAGAAAAGAGCCAGGAGAAAAAGTGAGTAAGGTGACGGTAGTTAAGTATAATATTACATGGTTACACACACTGAAACCATGAAAAAGGTCTGTTTGAACATGTGTCCAAAATGGTCACATTTCAGAGCTTTGAATTTTAGAATGTTCAAGGACAACAGCATGACAAGCACTTCCTAAGTTATTCTGAATGTATCAGAGTGGTAAGTGTTTGATGCACTGTCTATCCATCTCCAGACAGAGTTCAGCACAATGCCTCACGGAATGCCATAACTAGGTCAGGTGAGCATGAGGTCCATTTAGTAGACCGACCTCAACCTGTCTGCTTCTCACCGAATGCTCGATTTCAGTGTTGTCTAGTATAATCGAAGAAATGTGCGAGATCCCCATTGTGCATGAACCACACATGATTTCTTATTCATATTCTTCAAGGAATGCATCCCGTTGTGTTATCCTATACTTCGTTATTGTTTTCCATCTCAGCAGAACTATCAAAAGCACATTCATATTGAAGGCAAAAGTAAAAAAGTAAAGCTATCCCCTTAACAGGCCGTGGAGGCCCAAATAGGATTGTGAGATGTTGAGGCTCCCACATTTTCTAGACAGTCAGCTCACAGATGGCGGTAAGGTTGTCAGCCTTATGCGCCAGCTGCCCTTTACCCCCTGGAATATTCCTGGTACTCATTTCCGTTAGAGGATGAGTCGACCCCAGGGCCATCTGCTGTTGTCTTGCTAGGCTTACTGCAAATTCAGATTTCTTAGCCATTTTTTCAGAGTTCATGTCAGATACTTGCCTGTAACATGATTCTTTCATGCTAAGTTATGGCACAGTGATGTTAAATGGTGACACAGTGGTCTAAAATAGACCACAACAACTTAATTTCAGATTTGGAGCTATTCAGTTTTATTAACATATACCATCATTTATTCTGAGCCATTGAATATGATAATAGAAGCATATAAATATTTACCTTAGATTTGCCCGTCATGTTGAACCAGGTATAGTTCATCCTTAGTGGCTGTCATGTTGCATAAGCTGTTGTTGTTTACAAAAAATACACAGTAAAACCCCCGTTTAAGGGTTCTCTTTGTAGCAGTTGATGTGAATGCAAAACTGAAGAAAACGCTTAAATGGGGGTAATATAATGCGAAGTTTATAACGTGAGATTATTGAAATTGAACATTAAATGAAGGAAGACCTGAAATTAAGGAACATCAAATGGATTTTCAGTTTACAGTCATATGGCACATTAAGTTAACTGCCGTCATATGAATCTATGTCTACTTTTTTATTTGCTGAAACCCTAAAATTTCTGTAAATACCTTTTTTTTAAAAACTGTCACAGGGTTATAAGTAGCAGACTTCTTATTGTTGCTTCATATTCTGATGACATAATGTATGACATTATGATTACTTTTGCAGTATTCTTACGTATTCTGCCATATCTCACTTGAAGGTACATGATTTGAACAGTTGGTATGATGCTGTAAAATAACCAGTAATCAGTAATCTGTTCACCTGTGTCCTGTTTCTATTTAGAATATTTTCCCTCCTAATAATTGTCTTATTTATATAGTGAAGACTTAGACATGAGTGATGAGTCAGAGGATGAAATGGACTCTCTCAGTTCCGTGGCTAAGGGCAAGCATGACCTTTTGGTTAAAGCAGAAACCAAGGTGCAGACTGGTTTCTTCAAAAGCAATAAGAAACAGTATCCCATGTTTCCATTTTTTGAAGAGAAAGTGAAGTTTGATGAGTATGGAGAAATTATAAGGTAAGAACATTTATGTATCGTTCATAGAAACGACAGAGTGGCCGCTTTGCTTAAGCACATGTTGAAGGTGTATAGGAGAATAAAAGTAAAGCTTAGTGCATTCTTAGCTTAGGCACTTGATGCAGATGAGTGCTTAGCTTTGTGTTCTGGCAACCGAGGAGAGAGCCTGTCGTACTAATTGGACAGAATAGTGGCTGGGCCTCAGAGCCAGTCTTTTATGTGGTGGAAAGAGGAGAAATTTACTCCAAAAGTAAATTTTGAGGTGACAGATAAAAGATGTTGAATGTGTTTAATAAAGTGCCAAAACGAAGATGGTTTGAACCTTACTTTCAACAATTCTTGGGTCTTGGATGTTGTACATAAAAGGAATTTCAGTGTTTATGTAATTTTTATTTACATTTGAACAGTAATGATTACTGTTTTGAGTAGGTGCAAATGGGGAAATGAAGCTTTGAATTCTATAGAAATGGATTTGTTTTTGTCAGCAGACCAATTATCAACTTTTCAATAAGGTTTCTACACCTTAGGGTTACTCAGTTTACCTGTTATTGCTGTAGAGTCATCTATAGCAATGGTTCTCATCCTTTATCAGACCGCGGCCCAGTAAATTCATTTTTCTATAAGACGAGGGCCCGGTATAACTGATGCCAAGGCCCAGTATCGGACCGTGGCCCGGGGGTTGAGAAACACTGATCTATAGAACATTGTTTAATTTGTTATTGTTCAGTCTTCTATAGCACATTAGTTTATTTGTTATTGAGTCATATATAGAACTTTATTTAGTTTGTTGTTGGTGAATTGTCTATAGAAATTTAATTTGTTTATTTGATATTGTTCTTGAGCCATCTATAGAACATTAATTTGTTTTTATAGTCATCTGTAGAACTTATTTAATTTATATGTTGCTGTTAAATCATGTGTAGAACATTATTTAGTTTATTTGTTATTATTGTTATTTAATTTATTTGTTACTTTTTTGTTGAATCATCTGTAACTCATAGTGTATCATAAATTTGGCCTCATACTATATCAGTCAAGAGTTTTAAAAGTATTTTATAATATTATCATTTTCAGGCCAGAAGATTACAAAATGGTAGATTCAAACCCTGAAGCTGAAGACAACAAAGAAAATGTTGATCTGAAAGAGGAAGAAATTACAGGTAAGTTTTTAAAATGTTGTGAGAATTTTGTAGTTGAATATACTTAATTTACTGTTCAGGTTTTATTTTTCTGATTCAAACTTGCTTCTTTTCTGAAATTCAAGTTATTTTATACTTCCAATATAGTCAGAAAAATTGGAATGTGATATATTTTTCAGCAGCCGACATCACAGAAGTTCCAACGAAATGCATCTCAGTGACGAAGACAGTGCGTGTAATGGCCCAAGTGCAGTATATTGATTTTGAAGGTCGTTCAGATGGTGAATCACTGCAGAAGATCTTGGAACAGTTGCACCCTCGGAGACTAATTCTTGTGCGAGGCACACCAGACAGCACACATGCTATGTTGAATCACTGTCGCCAGTGGAATGGTGTTCGTGTGTTTGCCCCATCTCGTGGTGAAGTGGTTGATGCAACCACTGAGACATACATTTATCAGGTAGAGTGTCCAACCGTTATATTGCCATGAATGTAAATGTGTTAAAAATGAGAAAAATGCTGCTTATGACTGAAATGGTTGCGATAGCAGGGTCCACATCTCATTCTGACTTCACTGTGGTGGAAGCCTCATTGCATCTGGTAAGAAAGCTCCTACTGAAGAGAACCCAGGAGTTAACCAGTTACATCCTTCTCCAGTCCTTCATATCCTGCCTCTCTTAATGTTATCATCTCAGTGAGCTCTCAACTTTCTAAGTGGATATTTTCTAAAAGGTTTTCCCACCAGAATTGCGTATGCATCCCCTTCCCCCCACCTGCTAGCATTCATCGGTGGCCCCTGCTTTCTTCTTCAGTTTCATAATCATTTTTACACATACAGTAGAACTCCTTAGATGAGTGATCAGCCAATTGCAAGGCCACTACCTGTACACAGGACAACACAAACACAAAATAAACATACACACACACACACACACACACACAGAGACATCCATGCTGAAAGTGGGATTTGAACCCACAATCCTGTTGTTGAAGTGAGCAAAGACAGTTCATGACTGCATGACCTCTGTGATTGGCATCATTATAAAACAGCTGTTCTAAATGCTTATGTTTCGATGACTGTCAGTGCTGCCTCTGTATTTATATTGTGATGTATTGGTGTTCTGACAGGTAAGACTGACTGATGCACTTGTTTCTGCACTTGAACTGAAGAAAGGTAAAGAGGCTGAATTGGCTTGGCTTGATGCTCAGATTGTGGTACGAGACATGTCTAAAGATGCCAAGCCCGTTACCATGGATGTGGATGATATTGACAAAGAAGAAGAGGAGAAGGGTATGAATGAGTGATTTTCTAAGTTATTGACAGCATCGTTGAAGAAACTGCAAACAAATTTGTTGTTTGTAAGTTTTGAGGTTTTCACGGCGATGACTATGAAGAAAGTCTCCTGGGTTTAGGCACCGTGTATTCTTCATTTTGGCCGACGTTTCGGAGGAACGTATCGCCTCCATCTTCAGAGCAGTTGAATGGCTTGGAATGCAGAGAGCAGTAGCTGTAGTGACAGGAAGTGAAAGGCGCTGCTTATATACGAAGTAGGTGGTTAGGGAGAACGGACCAATAGGAGCAGTGGAGAGCGATTAAGGCCATATATGATGTTGTGTGCTAAGGGAGGGGGGGGTGGAACGGCCAGCGAATCCAGGAAACTTGAGGTCAATAGCACTAGGAAGTTGCGGTAGACAAGAAGAACCGGTTGGTTGGGGACAGGCTATTGACTTAAATGACATTATTACAGGGGACAGGCTACTGACGTCAATGACATTGCATACCCTGATGTCTTCATATTAAAATTGTCATTTTAATGCAGGAGTTAGACGTGCATAGAGAAAACGCACCTGAAGATGGCACATTAGTGCTGAAACATGTAGTGCAAAAGAGAAGAGTGGAGTGAAAAAGTGTATGCATTGTAAGACGGTTGGCATAAATCATGGACAAGAGAAAATTACTTTGTTCCTGCTGGGATTCAATCCCCAATTCGTTGGATATCCAGCCCATAGTCTTGTCGTTTACTGACTGATTCATCCTAGTTTTTGGTTAATGCTGGTTAGGTAATTAATAGACCTTTATTCAGATAATCATGTAAAACACAAGTGCTGTATACTCATAAGATGCGGAGTTCTCTTAGCATTAAAGCGGGTAGTTCATGTAGAGATCAATGTGCATTAACAGATAAATAGTGTGGCCCTGTATCAGTTTCCATTCATTCATACATAGTACAGGGAAATTATTATCACGTGATAAGTGATGATAGACTAGGTTTGGATTGATAATCAGATTTATTGAACTTTTCAACAGCTTGTAACTAAAAATAACTACAACAGTCTCACTGAGTTACATTCTCCAAAGATCAGTGTAATTAACTGCAGCACACATCAAGTCTTCTCAGTCTTCATGAGCTGTTGCTTGGTAGCAGCTTCCAGTGGTGAACATTTGCTTCCTCTAGGTTTCCAAACTGTCCACAGCCTCAGCTATCAGCTTCACACTTCTCACAACTGCAACTCTCAACTGACTCAACCGATTCAACAAGAACTTAGAGTCAGAGTCAGATTCAGAGTTATTTTACAACTGGCAATCATTTTGTTTTGGCGCTAAGCTCCTTGAGACCCACGACCAGTATTTTTTTTTTCTTTTTCAACTGAACCCTTGCGGTTATAGTCCCCATGTAACATCCTCTTTGACAAGAGGCTGGGTCTGTTTTTCGCAATTGCTGCTGGCCCACTCCAGTGCATTCATTCTCAGGTCCAAGTCCCAGGGGACTCATGACCATATTTTACTGTCTCAGACTCGAGACTCCCCCAACCTGGAGGGCCAGGCCCCCATATTTATACCGCACAGGAACATGTTAGTCCAGTTATACCCCAGGCACTGTGTTCTCTTTTTGTCACCTACTACAACTCACAGGGCTATGGTTGAGGTATTTGAACCTGCTGGGTAAACAATGTGTGCACAGAGTTGTTCCCTATGAATGGCTGTTATACTGTCACCTCTTTTTACAGCAGTTTCTTGCCAGTGTGTCTGCATGTCACATTTTTACAATCATAAAATAAGATTATTATAATAATTTATACGAAACTTCTTGAACTTATCAACCAAACAATACCGTAATGCCATATAGTCTGTTGATAGTCAACTGACATTTTGGAGGAACATGTTGCCTCCATCTTTAGGGTTAAATAATAAGCCAGACAAGAAACCAGCCTGAAGCAGAGGCAAGCAGAGCTCTGTTTGACAACTGCTTCACGCTGTTTACTTGATGTCCCACTTCCTCTTCCTCCCTCTTCCTTCATGATTTCAACAACCAAATGAACAATCGATCAGTTACTCAAGCGAATGAACAGAGAAATAAGCAGTAATAATGTAATTTATGTTTCTTCCAGGCAAAATGGAGATAGATCAGATTTACACACTGGAGCCATTGCCTCTGAATCAGGTAAGTGGTTACATGTTTTAATTTGAGGATTTAAGATGACTGGAATTTAATACAGTGAATTTTTAGTAGAATGTTTAGTATCCATACTGCTATCTCATTATTTTGTGAGAAGTTGATAGAGTTCATCCTCTCTTTGTGGACATATGGGTCAATGTGCTAGTTAGGTAAGGAGAATATAGCATGGTTAAGCATAAATATCTCTTCTTATATGTCATTTGCACTAAGAAAAGATAGTGTTTTTGTAGTCAACATAAGTAGTGGCCGGTTAAATGTTTGGGCATAATGATCCCAACTTGCAGCATGCAGCATAGTGTTCATAATGAAGGTACTATGAATGGTTTTCACTGCAGAAATAACCAGAAACATGAAATGAAATTTCTTGCAGTCTGTGTGAGTACAAAAGGGCAGTTACTTTGGTATTCTGTTGTTATAGGTTGTTGGTCATCAGACTGCATTTATAAATGAACTGAAGCTGTCAGACTTCAGGCAGGTTCTAAACAAGAATAGTATTCCTTCAGAATTCTCAGGGGGTGTTCTGTGGTGTTGTAATGGAACTATCGCTCTTCGACGGGTAAGTTTTGGAACGCTATGTTTCTCTCTGTGGTTAAGTTTATTGATAACTCTCTAGACTTGTGTTTGGGTGGTACCAGGCTCAAATATTGATCATGTTACTGACTGTCCTGATGAATTTGTTGTGGTTTTAATGTTTCTCCAGGAACATTCTATGGTAGTATTTTCAAATAGATGATGCTTACTTCCTTTCCTACCTCCCATTCATGATCATCACTATGTAACATCTCTAACTGAACAGTGTTATTAAATAATATCCTCTGGGAGGGTTGAGAGAAGGACTCTTTTCCTGGGGTAAAGTGGATGGAGCTGTGACCTCCATCTTCTTTGCATGTCTAGAGTGTGTATAGCTTTACCTTCAAAGCATGATTTGTAGGCTAATAGGCAGCTTCATTTTTATGACTCAAACAGAATGAAACACTGCACATGCATCAGTCAAGTGTCTGACACATTCTGTGCAAATATCTTTGTGCAAAAGGATACTGGCTACAGCTGTTGACTTCTGAGGTCTCCTGACAAAATTTTCTCACACACACTCAACAGTCTTGGCTAATGACTGTAGCAGCCTGTTCCTTTTCCAGTGCACAGGCAGCCACTCTGCTGGAATTTCTTGTACCACTCATCAATTGTTTTACTCATGGGTGGTTCTGTGTGGTACTTGGTCCGAAACCCATGTTGTGACATCACAATTGACTCGGTTTTGGCAAATTCCAAGACACAAAACACTTTCTTATCCTCTGACCTCATCATGTTTTGTCATGACTGCCCCCTAACAATGAAACCTCTAAGTATGCCATGGCGCCGATTACCCAAACAAACTTGGAGAGATTCTCTACCTACTGATATGCTACTTTCTGCTGTGTCTGTCTTGGTTAGTGTGCTGCTGAGTTCAGAAGTTCCAGAGGGACTTATGAACTATTCTGTGTAATCTCTGCAGTGCTATTTAATAATTTAAGACACAGTTATTCAGACCGGACTGCATTGTAAAACTTGTGAAACTTGATTGAAATTATTGTATCTTTTACAGCATGAAGCTGGAAGAGTAATCCTTGAAGGCTGTTTATCTGAAGATTATTATCGGGTACGGGAGTTGTTATATGATCAGTATGCCATTGTCTGAATGTGCACTACTCCCACATTCAATTATTCATTATGCAGTAGCTTCATGAAGAAGACTATGTCAGCCACTGTGGACCTTGCTGATGATAAAACATGTACTGTGGTGATATGCAGATCCGTGACTGTTTTGCAAATGTGGGATGTTGTGAAGTGATTCCGCCATCAGATATTTTGATTGTGGATGGAATATTTGTATTGAAGTTACTGAAACTTTTGGAAATATTACATTTTTGGGACAGACGTAACACTTGGGAATTAGAAATGATAATATGTAGTGAAAGTTTAATGCAACCAGCATGGCAGTGTGGCAGGTATCTTATATTTCATACAAAGGATTTGCTTATATTTTGTATAATGAGAAACTGGAAACTCTTTGTTTGCTTGAGTTGGATTCTTTTCTTTCTGTGAAAGAAGGTTCTTTGCATTCCATTGCACAGGATTATTGTAATATACCAATGGAAAGTGGACAACATTATTTTTGTAGCTTATACTTATGGCAAAACAGTACGGGCACGTTGGTCACATTTTTCACGAAGTTATGTGTTGCTCAAAATATTATCAATGGGCATTTTCATTGAAGTGTTAATCAGTGAATCACATGGTGGCTATGTTGGCATAGTGTTTTGCTACATCCAGTTTAATCACCTTTTCCATGAAAATTATGCATATGCATCAATTGAAATTCTGTGAGGGGGGGGGATTTTTGCCTGAATGTTCATCAAGGAATTGCAAAGTGGAGTGTATAGGCATGAATATCCATACCGTGTTGCCACATTTCATTCAACTGCAGTCACACTTTCCATGAAAATTATGTGTTGGTTGATCTGTTATTAAGGAATATTTTTTGTCTTAGTGTCAATCAATGATTTGTGTGCTTGAGTATATAAGCATAAAATCCATACCGTGTTGTCACATTACATTTCTTTTTAATCACATTTCTAACAAAAATTTTACATGGGCTGAATTGTTATCAAGGAACATTTTCATGTGAATTTTAATCAAGGATTCTTATGGTTCAGTACATAAGCATGAAGTTCATACTATGTTACCACATGCATTTATTTCTAATCACATTTTTCACTTAAATTATGCGTCGGTTGAAATATTATTGTGGAACGTTTTCATTCCAATGTTAATCAAGGTATTTCCTGGTAGAGTGTGTAAGTCTGAATATCAGCACCATCTTGTCGTATAAAATTCAACTTAACTGCATTTTCTGCAAAAATTTAGTATCAGTCAAAATTTTATTAAGTGACATTTTCATCTTAATGTTCATCAGAGAATCACATGTGGAGTCCATAGGGGCAAATGACCATATTGCGGCATTAGAGTGTAATTGGTTGAAATCTTATCAGTGGGCATGTTGCTGTCTAAAGTGTTCATGAAGGAACCATGCAATGGAGTCTGTAGATGTAAATGTCCATACTTCATTGCCACACTGTATTCAACTGTAATCACCTCAGTCCAACATGTACAATTACACTGCAAAATGTGGTATTCACATATGTTGTGTATCACAACTTTCAGACATGATTTTTTTGAGTTAAGTAGTGTGTAAATTACACATGCAAATGTGTGTGAAACATGATGTGTGAAATTATACCATTTTGTGGGGAAGTATGTATAGGGTAAGTTGCAGGTGTAGCAGAAGGTAAAGCAGCAGAAAAGTGACAGACTGGACCTACTTTCTTTATACTGTCAACATTTCTCTTACAAAATACTACACAGTAGAGAAGTACTATATGGTCCTGAAGATCTGTTACCAGATTTCCTCCGCTGGAAGTTCATCACATTTATGGAACAAAAATTTGTAGCAGCTTGAAAATTACACTGCTTCTTAAATAAGTTTATGTATCTTCATAGGTGCTGGGATCAGACCCCTCGGAAAGCATATCCACACATTCAGTAGGCAAATGCAAAATGTCTTGAAATGAGGATATGACCAGAGCTTTCTCTTAATGTGAAGAAGCTATGGCAACAGGCGTATGAATGGTTTCGCACAGGCGTATCATCTAGCTTTCAGACTATGTGATAATATTGAAACACAGTGTGATTCAAAGCCCAGTGACCAATTTTAGATTGCATCTTGTTCACGTTTAACTTCCAATTTGTTAACTTCCTCTCTCCGTCAGAGAGGGCGCCCCACAAAAACAAGACCAAAACTGTCAAACAGTAATAAATATCTGGTCATAAGCCCCAGATTGGGCTCGACACCAAGACTGACTGACTGACTGATTGACCGACCGTCATTCGTGATGTGGCTTTGACTTTGAGTTGTGAGTTAGTGGTTGAGTGAGGTGAGGATTCTGACAGACAGTAAGTCAGCCACACCAGGCCTTGGTCGGATTTAGGATTTGAACGAAGCATATGCTGTACAGAGAGGGGTTTTACAAACTTCAATGGCCAACTCCCGTTTGACAGGGGTGGTGTTGGTGAGTTTTCTGCCTGGCTGTGGACATGCATAGTGCTGTGCACTGCTATGTTGATAACCTGTTCAGGGTGGGGGGGGTGTTAATGGGATGATACATTGGCAATCACTGCCATCACTTCTTACCGTTCTGCAATATTTCACTATGATGTTGCACAGCATAGCACAGCAGTGATTCTCAAACTTTTTACCTCTGAGCCACCCCTGACAAGAGAAAATACTCTCAGGCCCCCAGTTTGTTTTTTTTTATCAAAATAGAAGTCATGTATGTGTGACGTTTTATTCAGTTTATTCTGTCTTTTTTTACATACTATTTAGCAGTTTTTTTACTCAAATTGAAGTATCACAATATTAGGCCTACAATAGTAATTAGTTTTAACACTTGCAATTAACCAAAATATGTATTGAAATGAAACGATATTTAACGAACAAGTATTTAATTTTTTCTGCAAAGAAAATCAAACATTTAAATGTCAAGAGTTCAGTGTGATGGATTAGCCTGCTTTTGAGAACAAAACATGGGGTAATATCAGGAATGGCCACTCTAACTTCTTTAGCAATATTTAGCCTTGAACGATACTTTGACTTTATAGCCGCCAAAGCAGAAAAGCCTGTCTCGCATAAGTAAGTTGTTGCGAAAGGAATCAGTATCTTCAGTGCCTTTTGGCTCAAAGTTGGGAATTACTTGCCAATATGTATCCAGAACTCGAACAAAGACAATTTCTTAAATTTTCTTTTTAATGAAGTCTCACTAGTGAGATCAATGAATTGTTCTTGCTCATTTACCTTTAGAGATGATGGCCCAGGAGCATTTTCGAATGGATTTTTAATCCAATTAAATTTATCAAAATCATTGCAAAAGTATTTTTCGAAATGAACTTTCAACATTATGAGATGATCAAGTAGGCAGCTTTTTATGTCCATTGGAAGCACTGGATTATCAGTGTCTTGTACCATTGATACCAGAGTAGGGAACATGTCTAGCGTGTCACTTTCCATACTGTTTCTCCAGAGCTCTAATTTTCTCACGAATGTCTTCACTTTGTCATTCCAAGAAAGTACAGTTGCCTCATTCCCTTGAAGTGAAGTGTTGAGGATATTTAGTTTCTCAAATATATCTGTGAGGTAAGCCATTTTCAATAAAAAATTCTTGTTGCTGAAACTGTCTGCCAGTGAGTGATTTTCCCCATTTAAAAAACAGAACACCTCATGCCTCAGCTTAAACATTCTCTTTAATATGTTGCCTCTTGAAAGCCATCAAGCATCACAAAAAACAACAGAGCAGTGTGTTCAGCACCCATTTCCTCACACAGCATTTTAAAACGTCTAGACTTCAGAGGATTTCAGAGGATGCGGCTGCTGCCGAACTGTCAACGCTGTCTCTGGCATACGCGTTTCATAATTGCCGATAAAGAGAATAATTATTAGTTATTTTGAAATTCATGATAATTAAAGGCTGTATTCATCAAAAGTTTTTCTATATGTATTTTTGTTTTTTTGTTACTTTTCTAATTGATTTAGGGCAGTTTTAATTTTTATCTGTAGGAAAGTATGCTGTGCCCCCCCCTTTCAAAACTTTGGCTCCCTTGGGGGTCGCGCCCCACAGTTTGAGAACCACCGTAGTACATTATAGAATAGATGGCGGTGTAGTGAGTGCGGAACGTTTTTGCGGAAAAGTTACACATCTTATCTATAGTCTGCAGCGTTTCTAAATCGCTGTCCAGCGCTACCAATATCTTGTAAGAACATGTCCCCGAAATTACGGAAACTGTAGGGCTTCAAGGTTGAGTTAATAGAAACGAAACTATAACCTATATGTAGGGGCGTAACCGGTATAAGATACTGGGCCAAATTGAACGTTATCCGTGCAGTGAGATCTTATGGAACGCTTATTTTAATTGATTGAACGCTGGGGTGGTATACTGAGCTCTGTATTTAATTAGGTCTTACTGTCCACCATGTCTTTGAGGAGTTATCTGTTCGAAAGTGGATGACCCATGTGATCAGCAGAGAACCATGGTACCCCCAAAAAGTGATAACTGGATAAGAAGATTCGCTGTTTCAGATCCTAGAACACATAAGAAAGGTTTTACAGTCTATAAAGTTACATCAATTGTAAGTACGACTGTGTTGTGCAAGTTGATATATGGAACATTGACGGTTGCTGCATGTAACGATTATAATTTACCTGCGGTGATCATAAGACGTGACTTGTATTTATTTCATATTTATTTACCAGCCCGATATGCAGTCAAGCAACGAGTAAAATTGTCATTTGGAACAAGAATTAAATTAACTTTATGCCAAACGTGTATATAAATTGAAATTGGTTGTTTAAGGGATGATATTTAATTTGGCGCCATGCAGAATCTAGCAGAGCGAAGGTGAATGTTACATATAAATTATGTTCACGACGTACTCTACTTGCCACTGCTATCAAAGTGAGGGAAAAATGATAATTTCCTTGAAATAATGCTGTCACGTTCATTATGCTTTATAAAAAATGTACACTAGGTTTTTGGTAAATTATTATGTTAAAATATCTGTGAAGCCAGGAGAGCTTAGTATAGTGACAGGTTATGGGCTAGATGCAAGAGGAGTTCGTGTTCAGTTTGTGGCATGGGTAAGAGATGTTACTCCTCTTCACAGTCTCCAGGCTGGCTTTGGGGCCCACCTAGCCTTGTGTACAGTGGATACTGGGAGCTCTTTATAGAGTAAAGTGTCTGTGGTGGGCGAACCAGACCACTCGTCTCCATCTGATGCTGCAGTCAAGAATGGTAGAGGTATACCTCCACCCCCCCATACATCTTAAATGCGTGGTGCTTAATTTTTCTTTGCTTTTGTCTTTAGTGGCATTCTGCCATGTAGGAGAGCATGTAATAAATTTGTTTTTTTTTTCTGTAAAGTAACATTTCCTTGTGTGTAAAATTGTCAGTAAATTGGCATCATTTTCTAAAGACATTCTAGAAGTAAAAGTAAAAATCCCCAATAATATGGGTACATTTGTCATTAAATTCAGTTCCTTGTAAAATATAATTTTCTATTACTGTATTGGCTATAATTCTGTCACAAAAAATGTCATAGAAGAATGGCCCAGATGTTCAACAAGACCTAAAATTAGTTTTCATTCTTCATACATATTAGTCACTTATATTTTTACCAAGGATGCAAGAAGCCTCTTCAAAATGCATGCAAGAGCATAATAACCATTCACTTCGTGTGAGATTTAGTTTTCTGTATGTTGGATATACATACCATGCATTGAAGAAAAAAATAATAATGTTATCAGTTCCTGTGGTCTGTTTATCATATCAGAGATTGCTGGCACTATCCTCACCTTGTTAGAGTAACTTAGCTTAAGATTGCGTGTCTTTTAGTTTTGAGACAACAGCTTAGATTAGGACTTGTGATTACATTTCTTGGGCTGAGTTGACAGTATGGCGAAATAGCTGGAGGGAAGGGAAGGGAAAGGAAAGGAAATAGCCTCAGATATGAAAAGTTTTTCCAGATGAGATATGAATCAGAATTGGACTTGTTTCTTAGTTTGGTTGTTTTGTGGTGGTCTTGCAGTCAGTAATGTGCATTGCTTTTAGTTGCACACATTTTAAGACTCCAACAAAAAGGAAGGTGGCCGTTGCTTGATAGCAAGGATGGTATTATGCTGAGAATTCGGTCACTTGTCCATCAGTACTTTGGCTTTGTATCACTGCTTTTTCTGTGAAAATAAATGAGGTACATGTGTTTGTTTCATTGTAATGTATTTTTAAAACTGGAAGACCAGAGACACATTTAGGACACATTAGATAAAAAAAATAAGGGTGTTAAACATTGTATCATGTAGATATATGGCAGCAAGGAGGTAAAACACCAGGCATTTTTTTACTGTGGCAGTGGATGGAAATGAGTGGGTAGCACAAGCTCTGGCTGCTTAACCCCCAGCCAAACAGTCCCAGATACTTGTTGTGTAGAAGGGCAGATGGCCCCTAGACCCAGTCTGAATGCAAAGGCAAAGAAAATAAATTCCTGCTCTCGTGGAGACTAGAACCACAATCATCAAGCCTGCCACTTGGCCGAGCTACACTGGCTCATTTAGTTCTTAAAGTGTCTAGTACTTGAAGGTGAGAAGCAGACATTATTGGTCCTGTTCATGGTGTTGCCAAGTTGCAAGTCCACATTGCTGCCTTTTAGCAGTTCAGGCCGACTATCTTGTATTTTTTTTTGTGGGTAGTTAATGATGCTGTCATTACCTAGATAGAAGATTGGATGGTGGATGAATGATGAATTTGAAAGGTTTTGGAAGGAAGGAGTCATGGTATGATCATCATAGTGTCTCAGCATTTGCCTGGAGGGACTGAGGAAAAGAATAAAAAACCCACAGAATAGTTGGTATTGTTGGCTAGATTGGAACTAAGCACCTTCCAATATGAATCTGGAGCATTATTGCTGTACCACCCTGTTTGTTACCATCTTATAACATTGCAACATTACAGTTGTGTTTCACTTGGTGTGCCAACCAGGTACTTACCCACTGACAAATTTGAATCCCATTGGAATCGTTTTTGTGTTTAAAGAATCTAACTCACTCTCTGGTAAAGGAATTCAGATGCTGTACACTGCTGTTTCCATAGCCTGTTGTTTAGCTGATTGTACCTAAAGGTTCCAAAACATGTCCATGTTCCATATTTTGAAACAAAACATTTGGTAGTGACTACCAAGAAGAGCATTGTTTGCAAATATATATAGTTTCTCATTTGGTGTGTGCTGGTACACATACCAGCAAACAGTTTGTGTATATTAGAACACGTTTCAGAAGTTGCACATCTGTGTGTTTTGACCTTGATAAAATTAAGTTTGAGAGTATGTGAAGGGTACTGTCTTCTGGGTTATAACACCATATATCTGCTCTCTGTTCCATGCTAGTTTCCTTCTTCTTCAAGCCTGAAGATGGATGTGACTTTCACTGAACTACATGGCATGTGTAGTCTTGACAACTTGTGCTGTCTGTGTGAGGCCTAATTATATATTTTATTTGACCAAGGATGTCTGATGTGTGGTCATCATGAATTTGTAATGTGTGACATGTTTTCTATCCAGTCCTATGGGGAGATAATTGGATCCATGAAGTGAAAATAGATGTAAATGTAAATTATATCTGAGAAAACAGAATTCTTCACAGCCACCACTGAGAGGACCTCAAATCCTAGAACAATAGTATGTTTTTGGAAGAAAAAAAGAACAGCATCATGTTTATGTGTGCGTGCGCGCACACACACACACACACACACACACACACATGAAACAAAATAAACTCCGTGGCTTTAGTCCACGAGCAAACTAATACTGACCGAGCGACTGTCACTTGTTGGTGAAGTTAGTGCCAACTTCAGTGGATAGAGGGTGTTGCATGGTCAGTGTAACAAATCCTCATGGCCATTAATTTCAGTTTTCTAGACCAGAGCTGGTATTTCTTTGAATAGCTTCTCAGTTATCTTCATGAGGCTCAGTGGATCTCGTAACAGACCCACTACTTCTCAGAAAATCTGATAGTGCCAGAAATCGAACCCTTGACATCTGGATCTGTAGCCAGGAACTCTGACCACTAGACCACAGAGGCGTTCCACATGTGCATACACAATAAATATATATAATATTCGTATTATAGGTATTTCCTAGAGGATCACCTGAGGCTGTAACAAAAGTAGTGGTGTGGAAGAGGTATAATGATTTCAAGAAACTTTACCAAGAACTCAGGACAAAACATCAGAAGTTGTATCTACAGGATAAATTTCCAGTGTTTGCAAAGGCCAAGTTTTTTGGAAGGTAAGACATTTCACAATTCTGGGGTGAGAAATTTTGGATCTAATCAACACATCATAAGAAATACAGAACTTAGAAGAATAACAGTTCTTAAATGAATGATGTGTAAGGATTTGCTGACTGATTGATTCCTGGTTTATTTAATGATGCTGTTTCAGATGTCAAGGTTGTGGATGATGAATTGGAAAGGATGTGGATGGAAGCGGTCACAGTTCATTTTCAGACAGTGTTGTCGCAGTTACATACAAGAACTGATGAAAATAATAAGAAATCTCAGTCAGGACAGCTGCTGTTAGGCATGCGGGACACTGGCTGTTCTGATTTTTTACATGGTTTTTGTCAGTTGCTTCAGACAACTTTAAATTAGGCCATGACCACCTCCTTCCACGTCCACTCAAATCCATTAATCACTGTCATCTGATCATTTGACACCGTGTAGTCTGAGTTACTGACAGCCTCATTAAATGAACTACAAATACATAACTAAATGCCTCTGTGGCATGTCATGCCATGTTATCAATACCCCATTTGCAAACACACATGCTACTATTGTTTGCTCACAATGCACTTTGATGCTGCAATAGGCAGGAAGGTAACATCATGTAATTAGGGGCAGTTTATGTACCTGCACAGATACCACGTGGACTGAATGGTGTTTACAATCCAGTAATGAACAGATGCTGAATAATTACTGTAACTAGGAGTGTTGTGCTAACATTGTAAGTACTGGTTCACATATTGAATTGTCATTTACTAGTTCCTGTTGCCTTATTCTCCAGAATGAAAAAGGGGCTTATAATTTCTTCATCAAACATATGTCCCCTGAAGTGGGTCATGGGAGAGCCATGAAGGAAGAGTGTGAATATACGAGGGTTGGAACTTTAATAGTGGCAACATTGCTGTAGAGACGCCATGCAGCGGAACAAAATAATGTCGCTTATACCACACGTTAGTTACATACCTACCTTACCTCAGAGCAAATGGACTCTCCCTTCCCACATCACGCACATGCGCAGTGACGAGAAGAACAGAGCTGTTAGCTGGCAGTCTAATGTAGTGCTGTCATGACGTTTTCGAAACAGGAACAGCGGAGTTGGATAAAGACTGAATGTGCCAGAGGCCGTACAGCATGGCAGTGCCATCAAGGTCTTTAAGAGGCTTGCGGGGTATCTGCATTGCCTTACAGAACAGTGGCAAGGTGGATAAAAGCTTCAGCGAGGGATGCCAAAATGTGGCAGATATGCATTGGCCAGGTCCTAGTGTCAGTGAAGAAGAAGTATATACTCTTTCCCCATTACTGGAGAGTGATTGACGCCATATGGTTCGTGAGCTGGCCTGAGAGACAGGATTAGCACATATGACTGTGCTTCACATTCTGAAGGAACGTCTGGGCATGAGAAAAATTGAATCACGACGGGTTCTGCATGATTTGATGGAAACGCAGAAATAACTATGATACCACGCTGCTCGTAACCACTTGGAGCGCTATGAGTGAATTTTCATAGACAAAACTGGAATTTGTCATATGTGCCTGTAAGCTTTGTCACCCACAATGTTCAAACCAATTATTTCCTGAAGAAAGCAGTCTTCTGGGCTTTGGCGCCGTGTATATGTGGTGTTAACCGACGTTTCGGAGGAACGTATCGCCCCCATCNCCTTATCAATCTGTCTTGTATTATCTGAATAGCACGGGCAAGTTACCAAAAGTGAAGTGAGATCTGAGTTTGAATTTCAGCTTTGACAGCAGCCTTTCATTATGTAGAAGATACACATCACTTTAGGAGCCATGATAGCTCAGTCAGTATAGTGATGGGATATGAGTGTAATTCTTGGCAAGGGCAAAAGATTTTTCTTTTCTCCACACTGTCCAGACCAGCTCTGGGGCCTAGCCAGCCTCCTCTCCACAGGGTACTGGGGGTAAAGCAGCTGGTGGAGTTGAAGTGTACCATTCACCTCCATCTAGTGCCAAGGTCAAGAATGATATACCTCCACTATTGCACATGTCTCCATGGCATGGATCCTAATGAATTAAGCACAGGTATAACTTTACATTTTTGTTTTACCTTTGTTTCACTTCAGGAAGTGTTCATAATAGAAAGGTACAGTTGAAGAGACTGCCTTTTATTATATGTTACCAGGTAACCTGGTACAAGGTTATTGACATTTTGGAGGAATGTATTAGCTCCATTTTCTGGTGTGTGCTTCTTGCTTAACTAACTCCTTGACCCTGAAGATGGAGGCAGAGTGTTACTCTGTAACATCAATAAAGTTATATAACACTATGCCACAGCACATCCCAACAGATTGTAATTGTATTAATCACAGCCATCAGAACCTAAAATCTCATCAAGTTACAGCTGTTCTAATCTTCTAAATTTGTAGTGAGATGGAGGTAAAGCTCCACATGTTCTTAGCTTCAGCCCTGAATGAATGTAAGCAGTTGGCTTATTGTTCTTGCTGTTTGACATCCAGGAAAAGAGCCCAGGTACCAATTTGATAGGAGGCTTGGAGTTTCCCAGAACAAATCTACATGTGGTGGCAAAGAGAAACCTCTGCCAATGCTGTGAATGGAACCCTGGCCTCTGTTTGTTAGATACTTGTTTCATTGGTGACATGTCTTGACTCCCCATTTCAGTGCATCCAGTGCAGTACAGCATGTGTTTGGGCTAAACATTTTGTATCTTAGCTGGTCCTGCATTATTGTTAATCATATGATATTTCTTTTGGTTTTGTAGATTTGAAGATGATGTCATAGAGGAACGACGAAAATGCGCTATTTCCCTGTTAGAATTCATTGGAGACCATCCACCACTCTTCACTAGTAACATTTTTGTGAAATTCTTTGAGGTAACTATAATGCAAATTTATTATTATGGTTCGGTAAATTTTCATTTTATATGTTAGGCATAGGAAAGATTTCAAGTGAATTGCAGATGAAGCCTCAGTTTTACTTTTTTGAAGAGACACTCTAAAGGAAGTGTAAAACCGAAGGAAATGTAAAATTAGGGAAATGTAAATTACATAAAAGAAATTCGGATTCCTTCATACTATAACTTTGGCAAGCCATTAAAATAAACATTCAAACTCTCAGTCTGTATAGTTCATTTTCAACTTTGTTGCACATTTAGTATGCAGAGGAATACATATTTTACTAAGACAAACCTTCAACATTAGTGGCAGTGCCAGTGTTTGTTTCTTTCAATTTTCCAAAACAGAGTGTTGTAAACACAAGATTTGGAAAATTTGTTATTATGATGTGGAAAATGAAGTGAAAATTTGGGAAAAACATGAATTTGAGGAAACATAAAATCAGTTAAAATTGATTGTTGTTGTTATGAGTATTTGGCTGGGACCATTGGTTCATCCTGTAATATTCTTTTATTCCTTTTTCTTGGTGGGTTATTTAATGACACTGTCAGCAGCTAGAGCAGCCCTGTCTAACGCGGCACCCGTGGTATATTTTTCTCGCGCCCTCTGTAACCACATATAATTGAGCCGATTTTTACTATTAATTCAAATTTTAAGACGAGACATTTTTGAACGTCTGAGTACTGTTAAATATTTTCGAAAATTTTTATTATTATTNACCTCCATAGGCATCAGTGAATTGTGCCCGAGTACATAAGAACGTTGGACAGCACTGAGCTAGAGTATATAGGCTTGAATTGTAGGATGACGGATGAATAAGGAAAGATGTTGAAGGGAGTGATCATGGCTTAATTAAGGTACTATCCAAGCATTTGCCTGGAGGAACTGAGTGTAACCATGAGGAAGTCAAAATGATGACCTCCCAGGTATGAGCTGAGAGCATTACTGCTGTGGGAACTGCCCACATTCAAGCAGGTGTGACAACGCAAGGTTCACTGCTTAGCAACGACGAGTAAACAATGGTTGCTAGGCAAAGCCTACAACAATACGGGCAGTGACATGTTTTCTATATGGACGACTCTAGGTTACATAAGAAGATACATTGAGGGAAGTTACAGTTCTAGATTTCTACAGTACTACAATTCTAGTTCAGTGTTCAAGGAGTTCGCTATTATCATTCTTCAGTTCTTCAAACTCAAGTTCGCCTGTGTATACTGCGCAACTGTAATAGATATTATAGAACAGTTCAACTAGTGGTTGTCTCTTCATGTAATGACATCCCACACTGCTATGCCAATACAATTGGTACATTTTTCTGTTATTCATCTCACTTACATCCAGATGTTTTTCATGTGCCTTCAGTATTTGCTCATACGTGCATGTTAGAGACTGTGTTATGTATCCATACAGAGGAATGGGTAGAACTGTTTTATGTACCACATCATTGAAAAGAATAAGTTTCTTATTAGTTCATGAATTAATTGATTTGCAACTGGCTGTTTAATGTCATAGACCACAAAAATTACAAACCATTTTCAGTACAATTTAATGTTCATGCTGTTTCTGCCTCATATACATCCAGGTAATACGTAGTTTCTGTTCATACTGTGCTTGGCCAGTCTGGAGTGGTAGTGTGCAGTGGCCTTTTCCTGTCAGTGCTCAAAATCATAAACTTTGACAGAATGAATAATTCTGTTAATGTATTCCCCCCACAAATACAAGTCTGCTGGGTTTGGACATAACTTTTAGCAAGTCACATACTGGTAATGACTCAGGTTTTCAAATCCGCTGTCTGAATATTTGCTACTAAAGGCATTTTGAACACTTGTGCAGTAAAGCAACAGAGTACATTCTAGCTGAAAAGTGAATGGGTATTCATGTTTCACGTTTATGTTTTTGTGTCACGGAAACATAAAAGTACACTTTACTGTAATGGTTTCTTTTTGTGATAATGGCAAGAAAGGGAGGCTGTGAACAGTCACCTTGATGACATTTATCGTGAGGCAAACAGTATTTACATTGGAAGATACTGAAAATTATTAGTACGCTTTGTACTCGTATTTCCTAAATTTGCTTTCATAAATAAATTATTTCATGAAATGTAATAAAACAAAAAAAAAACATACAAACTCTGCGGTTTTAGTCTGCAAGCGAACTATACCGACCGAGCGACCGCTGCTTGTTGACGAAGTTCAGTGCCAACTTTTGCAGATAGAGGGTGTCACGTGGTCAGCGCAACGAATCCCCACGGCCGTTACTTTCGGTTTTCTAGACTGGAGCCGCTATTTCCGTGAAATAACTCCTCAGTTATCATCATGAGGGTGAGTGGAACCCGTTCCAGACCAGAAAAAATCTGGTAGCTCCGGGAATCGATCCCAGACCTCCGGATCTGTAGCCAGGAACGCTGACCACTGGACCACAGAGGCGGTCCCATGAAATGTAATACTGTATATAATGTTGGGTATTCTTTTTAGATAATTTAATGTTTTAATAATTTTATATTTGGATAAAAGACAAGGAAATAGAGAATTTTGCCCCTGTATAAATTTCCTTCTTTGTTACAGTCGGGCTACACTGTTGACGATGGGGATAGTGACAAGTCACCTCTGACCCCTACTGTTCCTGGAGGCAGTATAATTCTTGAACCAGATGTGATACATCCAGAACCACCATGCGTAAAAAATATAAACATTTCTGCTGAAGGTGGAGATGGCAACATGAGACCAAAGTTTGTTCTAGTATATGTTGTACCAATTTTAGTAAGCAACATGCTACACTTTAAGCTCCTATCCCCCCTGAATCATCCTTCCTGTTTTGTATGAATGAATGGCGATGGTCTTTTCTTTTGTGTTTCTTTTAGCTCTTTACTATGTTCTGCATATTTTCCAGTGAAGGAGGGGGGGTGACATTGTTTTGGATCATCCCATAAGTCAAATTTTAATTATAATACCCTTTTTGTATCCTTCTGACCATTCTTTTACATGGCCTCAGTGTTGTAATCATTTCTTTTCTAACTGTTAACAAAGTTTGAATTTAAACTTCTTTAGAAATTCTGTTTCAAATTCCGTCCCTTCTTGTTCACCCCTCAGTACTTATAAAAAATCTGATATCCCTTTTATGGATTTTGGTTTGCTTCTCTTTGCAAGAATCTGTGTTTCTGTATTATATGTTAGTATTAGTGTAAAATATGCCTTTTTTAGATTGTTGTCCTACATTGTTTTAGGTTTTCCTATTCCATAATTTTCACTTTGTAATTTTATGAAGTTTAGAACTATTTTGTGTTTTGTTGATTTCTCTAGCAATTTCTTTTATGTTAGGTTTGGGTTGGAAACTGAAGGTCCCATGCTGAAACTAGGAGGGACATGGCAATTTCCTCAACAGGCGGACTCCATTTCCTTGAGTTCACATAGTTCAGATGAAGGCACCAATTTCACGGATACAGACTCAGCCTCTGCACTGAGTGGCAGTGGAATCAGCTCACCACTCCAGGTTTGTCACATTCATCATCTGGTCCTGTGCATCAGTTGCACTCTTATGTTTGGAAAAAGGTGAAACAGAACTAGAATTAATACAAAAAAGAAAATAGAAATAAGAAAGAAAGGAAGAAAGACAAGAAGAAAAGAAAGCAAGAAAAGAAAGAAAGAAGAAAGGCAGGAGGAACTGAAACAGTGTACTATTCAGCAACAGTTTAGTGAACATGAATGTTACCATATATTTAGTGGTTGTAGACAGGGTTAGGATTGGTAATCAGATTTATTGCACACTTACAATTTGGAATTACAAGTATCTGTGACGCTACATGAATCACTGTAACCCACGCTAGTCTTCTCAGCTTGTTGCAGCTTCCCACTAGTCGTTGCCTGGCTACAGTCTTCTAACAATTCTTTGTGCCCTTATGGATCATGAACTGCACTTCATAACTGCTGATTCAAGACTGTCTCATAATGACAGCTGATCCTCATTATGTAGTCTTGGCATGGACTGAACAGAAAACACCTCTTCTTGCAAGTGCTGTGTTGTAGTGTGATGTACGAGTAGCCATTGCAGCGGACCACATAGAAAAACCTCGTCATACAATTCCTCGATTGTTCTGTTGCCTTGGTCACCACTGTAATCCACTGTCATGAGACATGTACAGGGCTGTTTCCTAGCAGTGGTCATCTCTGTTGGTTCCACAAATCTGGCTTTGAGGCCACATGTCACAATATGAAGTGTGAAAGCTTGAAGTAAGTTACATGCAAAAACATATATATAGGTATAGGTATAAAGTGTGTGTTATTTCCATTTGATTTTAACCAAAACTGGAATACTTTTCAGCAAAACTCAGATTTCATGAAGTTCAAATCAGTTGGTATGAGGTTTTCTTTTGCTAACACGTAGACAGATGGACTGACATAGCAAACTTAATGTGCACTCTTCAGGGTTTCAAATGCATCAGAAATATGATTAGGAATATTGGTATTTTATGCAGTAGCTCAGTTACTGAAGTGACTGACTGAGGATCACATGATCAGGTTTCTATTCCCAACAGAATCACCACCTACTCTTCAGGTGTCATGAGCAAAGTTTAGAACAAAAATACCAAGCACTGAAATGTTTTTGGACATATCCATTATCCTGTCTTTATCTAAAAACACCATCCTATTTATTTTTCTAAACACAGCATTTCAGAGACTGGATTCTGTTTCCATCTTCAGGTAAAACGTACTTAGTTGGGCCCAATCGATAGAGCTAGTCCCTGTCTGTAATAAATTTCTGTATGACAAAAAGTACTGATTGCCGGGTGCAAATAAATATATATTTTGGAAATAAGGTACAGAGGATGCATACTAGAGTATTTTGGTTCACCACTCTCATGGTGGTAACTGTGAAGGTCACTGTCTTCTAATATGACGCCATATAGTGTAGTAGATTTTTCTCAGTGTTTTGGAGGTTCATACAGCCACCATCTTCAGACTATAAGACTTTATCATGAAGATGGAGGCAGAACATTCATCCAGAATATCTGTAAATGTCCACCACACTGCATGATGTCGCATCCCAGAAGACAATAATAATCTTCTGCTTGGTTGTGACATTTGTGATTTTCGAAGGTTGTGGGTTCGGTTCTTGATGAGGTCATTGGATTTTTCAATTGACCTAATCCTTCCATCCATACCATGGCCATGGGGTCGGCTCAAGCTCTAAAAGAAATAAGTACCAGGAATCTTCCTGGGGGTAAAAGGTGGCCAGTGTGTAAGGCTGAGAACCTCAACGCTATCTATGAAACGAAAATGTGGGAGCCTCGACATCTCACAATCCTGTGGGCCTCTGCGGCCTGTTACAGGGATAGCTTTACCTTATTTTTTTACAGTGGTAACTGTGATGCCATGTTGTCTGGTAGAAACATACTGATGTTCCTCTGAAATGCTGCAAAACTTCTACCAGACTACACTGTGTCACATCCCAGAAGATAGTACTGTTCAGCTTATTGCACAGCTACAATAACAGTTGTTTGAAATGCAGGTGATGAGCCAGACCTGCCTGTTTCATTGTTCATTACCAGTGAAGTGTGCCGGTAAGATTTCAGTTCTTGCATTGTCTCTCTTCTTAGTTATATTTGAAACTGTATTAATGTGATGGTATTGTAGTGTAATTCTAAGATTTTATTTTCTTAGAGTGCAGATCTACAATTTTTTGATCCACTGCAACAGACTCCAACAAAGCAGCCCTTGTTGAACAGCAAACAGGAAAATGAGAAGAAAGTTCTCCATACTGAAGTAAGAATTTTCAACCCAACTTCAGGCTTTTCACTTGTTCTTATCTGCTAAGACTGAAATTTTGAAAGTGTCTGTTGAAACACAAATTAACCATGTTTTGTGCAATTTCCACTATAGGCTATTTATAAGAAGGTCCACTACTGCAAGACTGTCCATTTTTTCTTGAACAGATAGCACTTTCCTCTCCTTTGGCTTGCTCATTGTGATGAAAAGCGAGTCACAATCACAAATTAAAATAAAACTGTTTGCTAGTTTAATTTTGTAGATAGATGAAGTGACACTAACAGAGCAACTTCATAAGTGCTTAGAACTTGTGGTCACCTATCATAACCAAAAAAAAAATAATATAATAATAATAAAATTCTTGCCAGTTCAGTTCACAGTAGATTCAAAAAGCAGAACTATCATAGTGATTTATCAAGTATGTGGAACTTGCAGTCACTTACAACCCACATCACAGGTAATTAGCCACTACACAGGCTTGGCAATGGTAGGAAACATGGCCCTGTTCTGCTGGCACAACCTTGAAGCCATAGAGTAGTAAGTATACATGACAGTAGAGGAGGTGGGAAATTATGACTAGAAATAAAATTTTTCCTCACTTCTGATTTAAAGTACTTAAAACAATAGTAACAGGCCAGTTTGTGCTCAGTTTGAATGTACAGTGCGTTCAGTGATCGAGGAAACCTGGCAACAGAGTCTAGTGGACACAACATTTCTCACAGATTCTGCCAGTAGCAGAATGAGTCATTAGCGCAGACAAATGTGCGCAATCAGGTGGTCTGATCGTGTCACTGCAGTAAGTTGCATTAATACAGTCAGTCTGTGTTAGAGGTGTCGATAGGCGGTCGACATTTATGCTGAAATGAAGTTCACTCTTGAACAGCGTGTGTTTATTGTCGAAACTTTTGCAAGGAAAAAATTTACAGAAAATTTATCTGTAAGTTTTGTCGTAAATATCACCAGTTCCCACAAAGTTGTGTGTATCTAAGCTTGTGAAAAAGTGGTGGGCCACAGATTCAGTGTGTGACATAAAGAAACAATAAAAGAGAATTGTGCTGACTGAAGAAAAGGTTCGGGGTTATTTAAGCATGACTACAGATCAGTCCTCGAAAATCATTAAGACACATAGCACAGGAAACCGGTGTTTTGCTAGGATCTGCTTTCACAGCCACAAAATTAATCAAATTAGTGAAATAACAGTTGTGCATGAGCTGAAACAACCAGATTATGCAGAAGAATTTGTTTTTTTCAACTGGCTGCTGCAATATATGCATGTTGGAATTGTGGATCCACAGCTTCTGTTCATGACTGATGAAGCATGGTTTCATGTTACTGGCCATGTCAAAATGTAAGCATATGGATTGATGAAAGTCCTGACGCTATAAAGCAAGTGTGATTACATAGTGAAAAAGTGGGGGTGTGGTGTGCTCTGAGTCCGTGGCGAATCATTGGCCCCTTATTTTCCATGAAACCGTGTAGTCTGACCGCTACGTTAATGATATACTGAATCCATTCTTCAGTCAGCTGACTGCTGAAGAAAGACAATGTGGGTATTTTCAGCACATAGGTCTAATGCAATCATGGTCGCATTATGGGAAGTGTTTGAAGACTGACTAATCAGTAGGGGACTGTGGACTCCCAGATCTCAGTTTTGCGATTTTTATCTTTGGGGAAACCTGAAGGGAAAAGTCTACAAGAATAATCCTTGCACCACTGAAGCTCTGCAGAATGAAATAACACATGTAATTGGTTAAATTGCCCAGGACTAACTTCAGAAAGTGTCGCATGATTTATTTATGCGATGTGAGGCATGTTTGCAGGCAGAAGGGGGTCACTTTCAGCAACTGTTATAAAGCACGGTAAGTTTGTGTTATCTTTTTACAGTATTCTTATAAATGTGTGCATGTACAGAAACTGATGTGAGGGAAGCACCAACATGACTGCACTCTCGCTAGCGGGGAAGGGCACAGTAGTTGCAGAGAAATGTTCCATCCGCTCTACACTAGTGAGGGCGTGCATGTTTATCAGTGCTAATGACTCATTCTGTTATCGGCAGTTACAGCAGTGATCTTTGAGAAATGTTGTGTCCGCTTGACGCTGTTGCCAGGTTTCCTCAATCTGAACGCCCTGCATACTCTGTGGGAGCCACCGACATTGAATTAAGCCCTACCCAATCAGCACTCACCACGGCAGCTCCAACAGCCATTGGTCTGCATGCCATCTTGTGACAAAGTATAAAGATGTGGGCCTCTGACACGTTAGTGGCAGTTGCATCTATTCATACGTCAAGACAGCAGAACAAGAGCAAGGCTATGAGGATCAACCCAATCAGGCCGACTCTGCTAGCAGTTGCCTAGATGCACCAGGAAGTTCACTGTCCACTGCTGCCGCTGAAGGAAGACTGCTGACGCTAGCCTGTTGCGACATGAGCTTCACCTGTCCTCCATCAGGAGTGCCCATCCTCAGAGACATGCGGCCTTTTCCCGGGCTATGACCTGACCGATTATCGCATGCTCTGCTTCCCTGCTCACCTGTGTATTCTAACAGCAGTAAATATTTGTTATAGAAATTTACATGGTTGTCTGTTCATGCTACCAGATTTGACATCCCACAATTCAGAGAAATGAGAGGAAAGCACAAATGTATATTCCAGGAAAATTTAACATTGTTCTTATGGAAGTTTTTGCAGGACTGATAAAAATATGTGTAGAATGAAGAGAAACATAGATACAAGGAATGTAAAGTCCATATTTCACTGTATAACATATACAATATTTATATTATATGAAGCATTTTTGATCCAATAAATATCAATTAAAATATTCTTGCAAATTTGTTTTTTAGTTTAAAAAATGGGAGTCATGAGTGTCTGAAATGGTGCAAAAATATAATTTTTCATTTACATGCTTGTGCATGATATGTGAAATTTTCTGAGTTCAGACTGTGAAGTGATAATCCCACTTGTTCAGCTACTATGGTAACTGAATTCAGACAACAAATTTGAGTAAAGGTTGCCAAAATAAAAATATGGAAATTCATTCACACATATTAGAGCTTAATAATTATGTATTTTAGCGTCCTGTTGCACTGATTCTTGTCCATGATATATGTGTGTTGACCGTCTTCTAGTGCACACAATCTCACATGTCACTTCACTACATGTTTCGGCATCACTGTGCCATCCTCAGGTGTGTCACCTACGGTAAACTATTGCACTTCTCGCCATCATGTGTCGTTTATAAAATAATTTAAAATGTATATTCCTCATGTACCATAATAAAATATATATATATTAAAATTTGTTAAGATTTATCATCCTGTACGTCTCATTGCAAAGTCATGCAATACATCACTCATCCGCTATGTGAGTCGTTCCTCCTATATTTTGTGTATACTGTGTCTTGTGATGTTTCCTTCTTCTTTGGCTGCTTGTGTTATTAGAGCTTCCCTTATGTGTGTGTGATGTGTAATAGCAACAGACAGTGTTCTCCAGATGTTGAAACTAAACCAAACTGAATGTAGTTTCAATCAGTGAGCTGAGTAACACATTTTATGGAGCTTATTCCATCTCAAGAAGCTAAGAGTTGCTCAGTATCAAGAAGTTCCTCCCTTTATATGAAATCGGCAGGCTCATTACTGTATGCATGAGAATCCACCACTGTAACCAGTCCTGAGTCAGATGAATCCTGTTCATGCAGCAAATTGTCCAAGAGTACTGAGTCTCAGAGTCTCTGTCTCCCATTGGCTGGATACTTGTCATCCCATTCTGTGTTGTATTTCACAGCACATGCGGAGATTGGAGGTCTGAAGAAGACTGATGCAGGTGTTAGGCTGTAAATGAGTATGGCTTTACTAATTCTGCTGTTATAAACATTTTCAGGTGAGCAATAGTTGGTTGCTTTCTTTGTCACCTGGTCCAGAAAAATCACAGAGTGACATACACAATGATGGAGCAACACCGCAACACAAATTATCACCCACTACAGTTTCTCAAGAGAATGGTATTTCTTTGGGGAAAGCCACCTCTTCTAATAGCCAAGAGCAAGGACCGTATTCATGGCAGGTGCCTGAACCGAAATCCATATCCAGTCTGCAACATGATGTTTACGTAGACCCACATCCTACTGAAACAGAATCATTCTCAAGACTTTGTGCTGGCAGAAACCAGGGCTTTGAAGCAGGCCAGATGCAGGCTGTGATGCCAGGCAATGTAACACAAGAGCCTGCCAGCTATATTGTGGAAGCAGCTAACCATGTTGGACAGGCACAGCTGCATCAAGCCCAGGGAGATTATGATGCAGCATTTGCATTCTACAAGACTGGTATTGCATGCCTCCTGGGTGGTGTTCAAGGTATGATTTTGTAGTATAAGACCATCGAACACTTCACTTTTAACTTACAAAATTTGATTTTTTCTCAATAGAATCACTTTCATCAGTTATGCATTATCAGTGCTTTGCTATTAACAGAGTAGCTATTACAATTTTTTGTGGTCTTTTGTGCTGTTTTTGGAAGTCATAATTCAATTTTAATGTTTATTATGTGGACAGTAGAATGTTTCAGTTAAGCATACATTTTCTCAGGTGAAATGAAACCAATGCAAATAACATAATTACCAATGTCTTGTTCTTTCACAAAGATTGTGATATTCAGCTCTTGATAGACTGACCACATTATTCAATAAAAATCTAGTGTAACCGCTCACTTCCTTTGTGCCCTTTCGTTGGTCGCCACTCTCTCACCTATTACTTCTTTGGGTTCTTTTGGGTAGTCGGTAGAGCTTGAGTTCCTATCCCCGGGTCTTATAAGGGTCTGGCTCGGACAGGGCAGGAGGAACCCTTCACTACAATTTCACACACACACTCTCTACAACCGTTGCACTTAATGGTCATTTAATCTCGTTCAGCACACTAAATACAACTGAATTCATTAATACATTTACTTTGGACTTTTCTTATACTGCTCTACGGAAGGGCCGTAGTTGTAAATTTTAGTGTCCGACTTGGCCGAAAGTTGTGTCAAGGCTTTTTCAGGTGGAATGCCCTCTCTCTGAATTCTGAGGTCCACGAACCCCAGACTCCAAGAGAAATCCACTCCTCCACTTCT